AAAGCGTCAACTAAAAATCTTTAATGGGTAATACATATCTTCCCAGGAAGTAAAGAAACCTCCTCCAGCAATTCCCATACCCTGGGGCTTTGCATCTTCACGCTCCCATCTCTAAAACAGGCAAGTGAAAATTAAGTGCAGTTTACTCAAACAGGGCTGAAAGAGCCCTACCCTGCCCCCACTCAGGTGAGAGCAATCATAGCCTCCAGCTTGGGAGCTCACAACAAGCCCAGGCAGGAAACCCTGGTTGCTACCAGCAACAGAACTCCCTCTTAGGGTCCCCATACACCTTACGATTATTGTATGATAATCGCGGGAAATCCCGCGATCATACGATGATCGTAAGGTGTGTGGAAGCCGTGCGACCTCTACTACTGTAAGGTTGCACGACTTTAAACTTACGGACATGTTCGAAAAACCCGCCGAGCATCCAACGATGTTCGGCGGGTTTGTGGCATGTCCGTACGATAACAGCCGTACGGACCGGTGTGCGCAAGCGCACACGGCCCGTTCGGCATTGCGGTCATCGGAAGCCCGCCCCTTAGGGGGCGTGGCTTGCGATCATCACAAGTACGATCTGCCTATGCAACATAGGCAGATCGTACGTTTTTTTAAGTACCTTACAACCATCGCAAGACAAAAGTCTTGCGATGGTTGTAAGGTGTGTGCCCAGCCTTAGCCTTGCAGCACTCTGCTAGTGTAATTAGAAGTCCAACTTCTGCACATGTTAATGAGTGCATATGAGCCAGCCCGTCTGCAGCACAATGCAGGGTATTAGCATTGGAGCCTGTCAAAAAATAATGCAGGCCCATATTAAAATATTACACCCCAGGTAGGAAAGGGTTATTACCCCAAGCGATTGTCTCTCCTTGTGAATCTCCCTTTAACTAAAGGCGAGTGCACAAAACTGGAGCAATACATCTCCAGTACTTTTGCCCAATGTAATGCTTTTGGCAAAAGGAGTCTGTAAAGCAATCGCTACAGTAACTAGGTTTGCCTTGCTCTTGTAGATAGGCAGCTGCCTATGGCCCAAAAGCCTGATGAAAGTACAAAAAAAAACATCCTAGGCTAATAACTCTCTTTATAAATCTCTGCAACAAAAAAAGGGTCTGCCAAAGAGTCTGAAATTTGAGAAACAATCTCCTGCACCCCACAAATCTATTCCATGTAGGATAGGGCTGCGGAAATTAACATTTAATTACCCGATTAATCGTTAATATTTTCGATCGATTAAAACTATTTTGATCAATTATGAAAACACTCACCTCTCTGCTGGCTTCCGGGAGTCCCGTCAGAGATCCGGTGACGTCACGGACATACATTTCTTATTTCTGGGGCGACTGCTAATAGAAGACAAAGTTCCTTCAGAGGGCTTGTTCTGCAAAACACAAAAAACCATAGCCCAATGAACACCAGAACTTAAAAAAGGTGTCAACCAGTCCCTCATGTCCCCAAACACTGAGAGAAAAAGAATAGGAATGGGGGGTCCAACCCCCTGTCCTACCTCAGAGCTGCTAGCACCAGGATCCAGATGATCAGATGATGCTGCCTTAGAAAATGAGTCTGCTCCAAGGGCTTCCTGCCCTGAAGACTCCAGCTCCAGTGCCCCGCTTCTGATGCCACCCCCTTGCGGGTGTGGGAGCCGCAAGGTTCTGCGTCCTGCTCCTCCTCCATCCGTCCATGCAGTGTGACCGAGCATGTGCCTGCACCCGGTCTTATGCCAGAGACAAAGATGGCCGCCTGACCGGAAACTGTCCAGGGGAATGGCGCCTAACCGGAAGCTCCATGAGGTCCGGCCGACCGCTGCCCTGGTGTCTGATGCACACCAGAAAAGGTAAGCAATCCCCCCGAAGAACTCAGCAGGATGGAGGAAGGTCACAGTACTAGGGAGGACTCCACTGAGACATTTACACCAGAAGGATGGTTGTCTTGCAATCCATGCAGGAAACCTCAGGCATAAAAAATAACCTATAGACAGATGGGGGTTTCATGGAATCCCCTGGCATGCGGTACTCACAAACCAGGGAGGCCCCTGCTCACCAGCACGAAGGCCTGGCTTAAAACAACAAACATTACGATGTCCTGTTTGGCCAGAGGAAACACACAAAAAACTGAAGCGTGCTAGGCTTGTGCTCTGTGGGTGATGTGTTTCCTGTTCCGGTGGGAGGAGCCAATCTCTCTGATGCTGTCCTGGAAGGTGACTAGAGAAAAAAAAATCTCAAGTTTTAGGTCTGTGGGAGGCTGCCAATCGCTGTCTAGTGGAACATTTGATGAGCTAGGTTAGAAAACCTATCCTAGTCATTGCTGCAAGATAAGTGTCTGCCAGCACTCTGTCATCCCCCCAAATCCCCCTGTACACTCAAATGTGTGGCCCTGGTACCTATGGGGTGCCCAGATTGGGCACACATAGCCACATGCCTTTGTAGCTCTGTAGAGTGCTTTAGAGCCTTGGTTCTCAACTGGTGGGTCGCCGCATGCCTTCCACTTTTCTATGCGAGAGGCTCCTCAGTCTCCCCCTAGCTCAGTAGTGTCAGTTCTCACACTGGACAGACATTCAGAATTTGCTGCCTGGTGCCGAGTGTCAGCTTGAGGTGCGGTAGGCTGCAGCTATGGCCGAGAGGGAGCTCCATTCATACATGCATTGGTTACAGCTCCCTCGCGTGCCCTGTAGAGGTGCCTGGACCGGAGTGACGTCACATTCTAGCTCCTGGCACCTCTACAGGACGAGCAAGGGACACAAAATGCACATATGGATGGAGCTCAGTCACAGCACAGTAGCCCACATTGGACCACAGGCTGAGGATCCACTCCAGTTCTCGTAAGGTAGGGAGACTGGGGGATCTTAAAAAAAACAACAATTTGGGAGTGTGTATGTGAGATTGAGTCTCTGGTTGTGTGCATCTGTCAGTGTTTTTTGAGGGCCCATTCACACTAGTACAGTGTGTTAATTGAACAGTCCTGTGCGATTAACACACTGTACCATGCAGTCGCACCTACTACGCGTTCTGGTGTGTTGCCTTGCCATTCAGTTTAATCGCCAGCACCGGAACACACGGTACCACAATGCCATGTGTTCCATTGCAGTGCGACTTGGGTCGCGACTTAGGCCTTGTTCACACCAAGCACGGAGCAGGTGCAGAGCAGATCAGTTGCAGACCGGATTCAAACTGCGTCCAATGTATTCCAATGGTATTTTTTGCTCCAGTTCACATCGCAGCGTGCAGAGCAGATCCAGAGCAGGTGAAAAAACTGCAGCAGGCCCTATTTTACCTGCTTGGGAACGCATCAAAAACGCATGCAAATGCCTGGAACGCACTAAAAGCCCATTTTAAACTTTAAAAAAAAAAGCATCAAAAACACGTAAAAAAGAGTAGCGTGCATGTGCAGAATCCTGACCGGATCTGCATTTGGTGTGAACAAGGCCTTAATGATAATAAGTCCTGAGGCTACACAGGTTGAGAAAACCACTGCTTAAGAGGATAAATGCAACAACTATGCAGATTTAAAAGTTCCCAAACTTTTGCTTTATAGCATCTAACAGAGCTTCACAGTCTCACTAAATGTAAACAGTGCATCTCTGGCGTTACCCTGTTTTAGCCATGAAAGGGCATAAGGTGTCCCATGTATGTGCTGCCACTGAGATTTAGTACTAAGAGAGAGTTAACATGACTGACCTCAAAAATGAAAGGTGGATTAGAGTGAATGAAAGAAGTCAAAATGTATTAGACAATGCCTTCATAGAATGTGTTTTATTAAACGTTTTGTACAAATAATCTTCTCTTCAAACTGTATATATTTATATTAAAACATAGAAAAGGATAATAAAAAAAAGGGTGTTTTACAGAGCAGTGTGAACATTAGTTAAAGAGGTACTCCAGTACCCAAAATATCACCACCCATTGAATCTGACGACCACATTCAAAAAGGTTCCCATAACTCCCCCATTCATTTGCTACATATTCACATTCCTTACTCTCAAACTCTGCCGAGCAAAGAGAAATACCAAGTTCTTCATGGTATGGGGGAATATGTGATCACTACACTTCCTCCTACATGACAATGCTGGTGTGTGTTTAGCCAGTGAATTGGCTGACCCACTGACTAATACTTTGAGCCACTGACCTGGACCAAGTATGCAAATCAGAAAAGGTCAAAAGTCCTTTTTAGCTTACTTGTTCCAGTTCAGTAACTCAAATTATGGAAACAAAAGGGTCAGACAGCCAGGAAGCCCTCGGAAACACACATTTGTTGCGCGTTTCTTTTGCCGCGCGGCGTGCGATTCTCGTACGAGAATCGTACAGTGTATGGGCACCTTTACTGTGCAGATTGCTCAAGTGGCCTGTTAGTGACATACTCAGCTGGCCTTATTAGAAGAATTCTTAGCTGCTCAGGATGTCTAATTTTCTCTATGGCTGTGCAATGCACATCACTAACAGGTCACCACTGCTGGAGAGGAGACCAGAGTTTAACAGTCTTGCTACAGGCAGCAGGGGCATGAATTAAAATCACTCAGTTTAAATCTGTATCAGACCAGGCTTCCACCATTATTTCTTTGTTTGTTCTGTAAACCATGTGCCACATTTCCCTTTTTGCTGTATTATAGCACATCTTGTTTCTCCACTGCCAATAATAATGTGCCCCCTTGACACTTACTGAAGCAGGATGTTGGCCTGTGCCAAATCATATGGGAAAGGCAGCAGATCTTTACAAATGATCAGAATGGTACAATTAATGATTCTAGAAATGTAAAAAAGTAATGAAAAAAAGGATGGGAAACCAAGTAGGAGTTGAGAGGCCCTTTTTTGTCCTATTTTAACATTCTTATAAGCTTTTTGCAAAAGATGCCCCATGCCTTTGCCTTTTTTCACCCTAACATTTGTATTTATGATTAAGGAGGAATCCCATCATCATTATCCCATAACTCTGAAAAACAGAGATCAACCTGAACCCCAGGTATTCTTAGTAATACTGTGGTCACCAGATGTAGAAGGAGCCTTGAGAACTTTTTTTTAGAAAGACACTGAGTTATTCTGAATCCGGTAGTCATCAGTAGAAAAAGGTTTGACAGTTGTGTGGTCCAAGCTTAGTCAAGTCCTTAGGGACTTTAAAAACACCTTGACAGCTGAAGGGAGCCCAATCCCAGTGTAGACACAGGAAATTCTATCCTAAAAGAAATTATAGGATCAGCTTGTCGCTGTCACCAATGAATTAGAATCCATGGAAGTTTACAACACTGCCCAGTAAGAGTCTTCTACGTCCAGGAGCACAGAGATAGGTGCAGGACTGCATATGACCATGGCATAGTTCTTGCTCTGGCCATCAACCCAGGAAGACGGATTTCTCTAGGCCATCCTCGATCTGTAGGTACTCAAGATAAGACTGGAAATACTGGCTCTGATATTGAGGGCTGTTTCTTACATAATGGAGGTAATCTGGCGCTCCAGGACACACAACGTTGTCAGCCAGGAGAACAGAACCGGCTCTCAGCAAACCACATTCCTAGAAAGGAGAGGACAATGCAATCAAGGACAACTCCCAGCAGATATATCAAAACAATCATCAGTTCATCTATGTATTCCCTTAGAGCTGTTTTTAAAACTATAGGTCGGGACCCAAATTGGGTTGAAGACGTGAGTGTGTAATAATAGTGGCACAAAATCAGAGGCATGTGGAATAGAACAGTTTTCAAATCGTAAACAGTACATTCTGAGACCGTCTCTAAACAATACAGTTAACAGGCAGTCCTTGTTTCTATGGGATGAAAACATAATAAATATTCCCACTGACAACAGATATTGGTTATATCTTCCATTAAAATAATCAAAAATGGTGTGTCATGATATTTGAAGTGCATCTTTAGCCAAAACCTATTTTTAGGATTAAGTGCAGAAGGGTTAAAAGGAGAACTATAGGGTAAGTGTTTTTCCCCATAGTTCACCTCAGGGTCACGGGAGGACATAAACAAGCATCCTCCCGTGACCCAAAGCGAGCTACAGCTCACAGCAGGGACAGTATTGAGAAGTGAGCGAGCGACGGTATGTGTTCGCTCACTTCCCGATCTATTGAGCCGACGTGTAACAGTTTCCTTTTCACACGTCGGCTCGAACTATGAGGCTGAGTGATTTTCACTCGCCTCATAGTTCTCCTTTAAAACGTATGTCTGTAATGCAAGATCAGTGAAAACATACCTCTAGCAGTTTGGTGTCAGGGAGATAACTGACTTTCCAGTGGTCTATAAAGACCAGGTCAAACTTCTCAATGTCCAGTTTCTTCTTCAGCTGAGGGATTAGGATGGAGCTGGACCCCACCAACAGTTCCACCTGTAGCATAAAACATGAATGAGAGTCTTCCCCTATCCCAAAAGAGAGACAAAGTGAAGCACAGCCAGACAGCGGTTCTAATCCTTTCTCATTCTATCTAAAACCAAAGCCTCCTCACACAGGTGTTTTGTTCTATGTCAGATTTCCAGAAAACATGGTTTTTCATTAAAACAGTCACATGTATTTTGGAATTTTTTTTGCCGTGAATAATTTTGTTGCCATTTCTATGTCAAAGATATTGTCCATTTAAGCCGACATCCTCCAGCACAGAAGACACTTCCATTAGAAAGTAATGGCCCTCATTTCCCATACGGACTATTAACCCAGAAACCCTCTGAGCAGTCACATGATCCACATTCTCATGGTACAAAGAGCGATTGTGATCTGAGAAGTCATCTGTGGATAATTGTAGACTTGATTTTTCACTCAGCCACAGATTTCTTTTTGCTTCGAGCTACGTCAGTTCTTAAAACGAGTCAAGTCAATCTTTGGCTATTATACGGTGAAGCTGAAAAAAACCCCTTATTGTTTTGTCATAGCTTAGTCTATCAATTAACCGTACGGACTGTAAAACAGTAATTAATTGGCATGACAGTCGAGGGACAACCTGAGCAATTTTCAAGAAACAACTTAGCTGAGGATATTCCCTAAGATTCTGTGACTTGACATCTTTGCATTATTGGAAAGGTTGTACGTTAACAGACAATGGTAACATATTTTGCATTCATTTTACAGCAGGATAATGCATTTCACATAATAATCCCATTCATATTTATGTGGTTTGCAAAATCAGCTGGTCCCCTGAGCATTGGCCCCGATATGCTTCTTTAGTGTGGCTGCTTTACCCTTGCAGGGTCCTATGGAGCCAGCCTTGTGTGTGCTAGTAAGCTGTGTATGTCTCCACAAACACACAGGCACAACAAGGCAAAACACTCCTCCTTTCCCTTCTCCAAGAAACTAGATGGACAATTGCTGCAGACTCTAATCTCCCTTGTGGTCTTGCATTTGACAGGAAATTCTGGGAAACCGAGCTGAGAGAGTTGGAGCTCTTTGAAAATATGACTGTGACTGCTTGGGTAAAAATGTAAAGAAATACATTGCTGGAAAAAAAAGGTTACAGAAAAACTCCAGGGAAAAGTTTTATTAACTCTTGAAGTGGGACTACCCCCGATTTTTGCCATAGTTCTCTTTAGTTTTGTGACCCAAAACTCAGCATATAGCGGGCTATTGCTGGCTATATGCTGACAAAACAAAGGTGCGCTGCAGCCGGGACGAATCCTGACCGTCTCGCCACCTGATTGACAGCTGGCTCTGCTGTCAATCACGGAAACCCTGCATGGAGCGGTGACTGACAGTCACTTCTCTGCAGGGAGAAGATTTGGAACTCAGCGATCGGCGGTATGTGTTAGCCGAGTTCCCGATCAATAGAGCCGACTGTGACAGCTTCAGTGTCACATATTGGCTCTAATTATGGGGACGATTGTATTTCACTCTCCCCATAATTCTCCTTTTACTCGTTTGTGTCTCGGTGCTTAAAAAAAAATACTCCTACTCAACTGAACTGGCGAGCCGACTCCCTGCTTCTCTGGTTCTCCTTTTGTGCACAGATGGAATGTTCCTCACCTTCCTCACGTCTATACACTTATATACAGCGTCATGACACAGGGATTCTTAGGCCGCTGTAGAGGAGGGGGAGCAAGTCTCTAGTAAGCCAATCTAAGAACATGTCGGCTGGAATGATCAGCAGAGCATAACTTTTTTCTTTTTACTTGGACACAAACAAGCAGTTAACACTTGCAGTTCGGGGGTAGCCCCACTGAAAAAGTTAATACAAATGTTCCCAGAGTTCTTTAACACTACTTCAAAAACACTCAAAGTTTTCCCCTTACTTTGCAGAAGGCATGAACATAAAATGCAAGTGTAAAGGGTACAATGGGCAGAATTTATCAAAAGTGGAGCCGATTTGCACCGCAACCAATCAGTTTCTTTGACTCATTTTCAAATCTTACCCGAGCAAACTGAAGAGAGATGCTGATTGGTTGCCATGGACAACTGCTCCAGATTCTGTCTGCTCCAGTTTTGATAAATTCCCCTCAATGTGCTTTTACATGCATTGCTGCATGCACATAGAGGTCACCGAGTAATGGTTTGCAACTGACCATCATCATAGAAAGTTTCCAGGAAGCTGAACAATCTTTTTGCTCAACAATTCACCAGTCATTAAAGCATATCTAAACCCCAACAATGCAATTTGCTTATTTTCTTCCTTTCAGTCGGTTAAATACATTACATATTCCTATAGTAGCTTCAAATTTAGAATTAAAAGGGATAGTTTATTTTCAATGTGCATATATTTTGTGTAATCTACGTATATAGTGTTTACCTTGTAATCATTTTTTGATGTAATTTTCACAGGTTTTTTTAGTTATTGTATTAAATGTTTCGATTTGAAGATTTGCTGCTACAATGACTTGGCTTCACAACTGCTGAGATAAAATATATCAGCCACACAGGGAGTGCATTGCCCAACTCTCAATTATAGAAAACACTCTGCATTCCATTTAATACACCTACTACGAGAGACAAACATTTTTGCACTCTGTGTATAGGGGGAATGGAAGACAGCCTATTCAAAGCAAAGCATTGATGCTACTATAATCAGCTGCTGGCTGTGTTGTGTTCCCATGGATCTTCCCATCTTCTTCCAAGAAAGACCAACAGGCCTTGCAGGGCCAGTCTACACACCAAAATTAGACCAAACACACTACTAGTAATCACCTTGCAGGTCCCTTCCAGAATCTGACTGAAAAGAATTACTGGGAATAAAGATCTCACCTTGCAAGTTTGCCCAGCATGTTGCCTCTCTGCAGTCTCCTTCCGAGTTGGGAGTGAGGATGATGTGAACGGGTTTTGGGAAGTGCGAGAAAAAAGTTGCAGCGGCAGCTGCAGACATTGCAATGTGGTGTATAGAAGGGCTTCCTGAAGACGCCACTTGAGCTGGTAGGAAATGGGTGGGAGGGTTGTGTTGCTGGCGGTCTGCTCGGCCTGAGAACAGGGAGAGGAGACACTGGAGGGCATGGGGTACTCTGGGACAAGGGGCATCTACAGGGATAGGCAGCATAGCAAATTGGGTTTGGTGAATGAAAAAAAAAAATGATATGCTTTAATACAAGACAGCACCAATTGTGTCATTCCCAATTAAAACTGGTTATCTATACATTAAGCCATCTCACTAAAGACAGTTTTCCTATTTAAGTGTATCTCTAGCCAAAGATTTTTTTTTTTGTGGTTTTTTTTCTTTTAGTTTGCATAGAGTAGGCAAAGGTTAGAGATTAGTTAATATGTTGGCGCTTACACAGAGATGACGACTTATGTGGCAGTGCTGGGCCAAATACCAAGAACCAGCACTGTCCTATGGAGTGAATCACATGTATTCCCTTAGCTGGAAGTACCAAGTATTTTCTCTGCTTCTGGCAGCAGAAAGGAGTGGCAGAGAAACAAAGGAAGGGTTTATGTTGCAGGGAAAAGGGCACTACACACAAACCTGTTGCTTGGCACTGACTGGGCAAAACACAGGTTACGTTTTAATTATGTATCCCAATCATTCTCCCAGGGTTAGCCCACAACTGGCTGAGACTGAATATGCAAATTTGCTGGGAACACAAAAAATTCTGCTCAGCTCTTCCTCTCGGGTTAATTCATTCCTTGGGCTCGCTCAGGTCTGTTTGTAAATTACAGTTGAGCTATTAAACTGTGTGAACAAGCTTTTTATAGTAGGAGGAAAGGAGAATTGGAAAAAGAACCTAAAGCTTCACCAGCTGGCTGGATAGAAAATGACATAATATGAATATATTTTAAAAGAAATTGTATAGAAAACTACCACACATTCCCTTTCTGACCTGCGCCTCCAGACCTGCATGCCGAATCACTTCTTTGGCCACCTGGGCGTAGTGTGGATTCATCTCTATGGTAATAAGCCGAGCACCAGGGGGCAACAACCTAGCAATCCGTACCGTAGAGTAACCGCAATATGTGCCCAGCTCCAGCACCCAACGAGGGCGGGTCTCCAGGACAATAGTATCCAGGATTTCACCTGAGGGGGAAAAAAAATTAAATAATTATAAAAATCAGCAAATAATTACACAGACACACAAGACTTAAACAGGCTTAAAGTGGACTTGCGCTTGGACCATGCACAACAAAATGACAGACTCATTTAACTGCTAGCACCTCCCCCTACACACACCCGGATGGCATCTGGCGATTGGTTGTTCAGCTGTGTAGCTAGGTGGGGAGAGAGTTCTCAACATCAGAATCTTGCCGCTTACAGTGTGTGAAATGCTTTGGACCCTGGGTGCCAAATGAAGTGGTGGGGAAGTAAAGGGAAGGCAAGCTCATGCAGGTGGGGTGGGCAGTATTTAAAGTCGACCGGAATTTTTTTTTTAGAAATTAAGTTTTTCTGTCCTATAGGGAACATCTAGAAATGTTAATTGTACCTATGTGAAGCCACACACAAAAAAAAAAAAATCTATTTTTTTCCCCAAAATAGCAGAGCACTTCCTGGTATGCGAGGGTGCATAGGCATTTCTGTGCCTACAGCGTCATAGCTGTATATCTGCAGTGTGAGATCTAAGGCACTGTTGCCTCCGATTGCTAGTGCAGAACAAAGCACGGTAAATCAGTAATGGGGAAAGATAACTTTTTTGGCACAGCTTCCAGGGTTCAGTCCTTTTTATGCAACACCTGCATAGGTACACACGTTTATTTTAAGGAAAACATTTTGCATGTAGCATTGCAGGCTGTCATTGTCCAACTCTGGAAATTGGCTACAGCTCCAGGGCCGAACATGCCTCCTGCAGAGTCATACACATTTGCCTGCTAACAAAATTACTACCAAAAGTTGGGCAATGGCAGCCTCCAAAAGTAGATGGGAGTCATTGCTATACTAGGTTATAGGTTCCCTTAAAAGTGGAAGCCCATCTTGAAATAAGTGGTCATTGATAAATGCTGTATAAGTATCCTTTTCATCTGTATATATGTTTAGTTTTTCTTGTCGTTTTTCTTCCATCTCCAAAATACTTTATAATTTGTTATGGATAGAGCAGAGAGGGGTCAAGTTTTTATTGTCATCTGTGTCCCTTTTGGGGAGATTACAATGTCTGACAATGTGCTCCTGGGGACACGTGCTCTCCTCTTTTCTGTAGGGAGAAACTGTGAAGATAAGACTTTCCCTACTCTACAAGAGAACCCAATGCATGCCAAAATGAAAACAAAAGAACAATTGATCACTGTCCAAAAATCTTGAAAGTCTGATGACATGCATTCTTCTGACCACTACACCACCCAGTTATGTCAAGCAATGCCTGGAGAAATGGAGTACACATGATCAGACTGTGTAAAACAACCTCTAGAATAATAATAAAAAAAAAAAAAAAGAAGTGCAGTCAGGTATTCATAAAATAAGAACAATCACTACATTTTTTTGTACATACTGTTAGCATAACTGCCTAAGACTTATTATAATTCCCAGAATCCTACACTGCAGAATTTAGACTGAAAGTAGGAGGTTCTACACCGTGGGCCAATCAGCCTCTATTATATGCACTGACATTGCACATTATATATAGGCTGACAAACATGTATCAGGTACTAGAGGATACAGAGAGAGATCTGGATAGACACCGACTGTACCTGGGCATGGTTACCCGAGAGGAGACCAAGGAGGCTTTTTAATGATCAGAAAGTTGTTTGTGTTGCCTTTAGCATAATTGCTATTGCAGTATATTGTGGCATAGTCTGCAGATGTGTAAAATTACCAGTTAACCTACTTTAAGCACATGTAGAATGCAGATTATGAAAACGGTGATAGCAGAACACAGAGTGAAGTCATATGACCGTCTCAACTCACTTACCCTTCTTGTCTCCCACATTCATGGCCCACTCTACTTTGCTGCAAAAAGAGTCAATGGCAGAGATGACACTGAGGGCATCTCCATGCTTGGCCCAGCGCTGTACGAACTGCAGAATCCTGACAGGCCGCGTGGTGCCCGTTACAAAGTCTTTTAGCCGTTCCAGGTAGTTGTCGTGCCACCAGAGTGCCCAGTCACCATTCGTACGTACTTTCCAAACCACAAAAAGGAGGCACAACAGTGCAGAGCTCAGCAAGAACACCGCTGCCAGCATCATGTAACCGGCAGCAGGGAAGAGACAGTAAAGACCTGATGGGAAGATAAAAATTTAACACATTTAGAAGACTGCAGAGAGAACACCTGCTATTAAGTTTGAATGCATCATCTGTATTAACCAGATTCTTACTATCATTAGTCTCGTGCGGACTTCAAAATGATTAGTTGCTGGCATGGGCAGTTCTTTTAGGGCAACAGCCAAAGTTAAAGAAAATACAAAGTTTAAAGCCGACTATACATTTTACAATCCGATTGTACAACCTTTACATTTACCAGTCATTTTATAGTGCAACGGCCTAACCAACCTATGACATTTTTATGTTCGCCGGACCTTTACACAACATAGTTTGAAAATCTAAAGGAGACTATGCAATCAGAGAGTGTAACACCGCAGTCCATAGACACCAATACAGTCATGCAATCCTGTCACTGATGTGGACAATAAATTTACTGCTGACTATATGCCCCTGTCCCCCAAAGTGAGTAGGCCATGCTGGGTTAAAGGGAATCATTGCTTTACCCATAGAGGAAAAAAATAGATTCCCTTTAATGGCAGTCCCTGCATTTGTTAGATGATCCACAGCAAACCCTGCTCACATTCTAGAATCGGCTTGCACTACGATTGCATCCCTGGTGCAGGCAAACAAATGTGCCATTGCCCATAGCAACCCAATCTAGAAATAGCGACACTCCAAAAAGGTCTTCACGGAAGATTTAAAAAAAATCTTTATTTATGATGCAAATAGATACCGTTTGTTCCTCCACATGTATGCGCAACCTTTAACATGTTTCACCATTCCGGCTTACTTAGAAGGTATCTCTAGGAGTAGGCCAGAATGGTGAAAAGCGCTAGAGGTTGAGCACACATGGGAGGAACAAACAGTATGTATTTGCTCCATAAAGAAAGATTTTTATCTTCGTGGAAGACATACCAGGCACTTCTATGTAGTTGAGGAAAGGCTTGCTCCCAATGTAGTAAATGTTTGTGCAAAATCTAGGTACACTACGTTCATTGGCTTTCCTCCATTTAGGTCGCTACTTACCGCTTTATACATGTTGATAGGTTTGTCTGACAAGAGCGGTCTTTCATAAATGCATGCTGGTTGTCATTTATGATTGAGCCCATTGAGGGATAAAGGAATTCAACTTCAGTCCCATTATACTGCCATCTACAGAAGAAGTGGGCAATGGCAAACAAAATAAAAAGGTAAGCCAGGCCCCAAGAGAACCCCTCTTGTAGCCAGCATGTCTTCTCAGTTTTGTGTTAAAGCAGTACTAAAAAGGCATGAACTAAAACTCAGAGGGGTGGACAATGGACTCCAAAAAATAGATATGTTAAAAAACCCAATTTTTTATTTTTCGTTCATTGAGGGACAGAGGAATTCAGATACTGTTGGGACATCCAAAAGTAAGTCTGAGGGGTGGGCAACACAGCAGAAGACACACTAACAGGTCTCACTAGGGGGACTGGGCCAGTGAGAAGCTGACCACATTCCACCAAAAACAGGTAGCGCAATAACCAAATTCCCAAACCGGGAAGAAAGGACCCACAGCCTGATGCGGTCAACATAACTAATCACTTGGGAAAACCCCCAAGAGGAACAGGTCCAAAACAGAACCTAGTCCAAAAGAACCAGTCCCTGCCAAGCAGGACCAGCCGATCTACATGGGAAGGTTCGAGGTCCAACATTCTTTCCTTAAAAGGTCAAGGGGATAAAACTCCATGACGAAAAGGAGGTTGCCTAGCCAGACAACCAACCTCGCTAAATGAGGTACATCAGAGAATGTATAGTATTAGACTATTAGTACAACCCAATAGCCCACAAGGGTGTGAAGCCCACAAGAGAACCGAAGTGTTTGATCCCACAAAGCCAAGGTGACAGAAGGAAGAGGGCGCAAGGCCACATGGATGGGCAGAAATCAAATTAGGCCTCAGCCCCAGCCTGGTGAGAGAAGACCACCAGGGTACACTAAAGGATGAAATCTAAAACATCCTCTCCTATACCCCTAGGCAACATTGGGGCCTGCAGAAGAATGCTGCGGAGACTGCCTAACCCTATATACAGCTGTTGGTCTAGGAGACTCCTGATCCCCCCCAGATCAAGCAAAGCATCAACAGCCATGAAGGGAGGGACAAGAATCAAAGCCAGAACCGTAACAGCATTTACCTAATTAAGGACAGGGTAAAGGAAGGTATCTGGAAGACCAATCACCAGAGAGTCCTCTGGACATGCTGTCTACAGCAGAGAGTACTTGCAGCAGGAGGCTAAGGTGTTACCCTTGTTGACAATCCAGGGAGACACAGGACCCTGCAGCAATGATCTCCACCCATCAAAAGAAGTAGCAGGTGTGCCGAGATGTTGCTGGGGATCCGGATACTTGTCCCAGTAAGGAACAGCTAGAGGTGGTCCCAGTCGACCATGAAGGTCAGGGAGTCCCTCTGCTGAGAAGGGACCCTGGAGGGGCCTTCCTGAGGTAGGGAGTGGACACACAGATGGGGCACAGCTCCAGAACCTGACTTAAGATAAAGGACTGTGTTTTGAGCAAGGGGTTCCAGGGAGGGAGGAACCCAGACAGACTAGGGAAGGTGCAGTGTCCTTTGCAGTAGTACAGTGACAGGGACTCAACCCATGGGCTTAAAGGGGGACTCTCTGTACTTGAATGCAAGAGAGGCAAACTACCCAAAAGACTAACAGGAAGCACAATCAGCATGCCACTTGTAGAAGTGGGGATGCACCTTAATGCAGAAAGCTTTTGAAAGGGGTAAGCTGACCTCTGAGTTTGAGCCCTATGTGATAAGCAGAAGTCAAGCTCAGAGGGCTTGAGGGCACCTACTGCAGAAGTAGATGGAGACGGGTGAAATTTAGCCAAACGCTCCCTCAACCTCCTACGCTGGGGCAGGAGCATGCTCTGGCATCCTGTGGCATTACTGATCAAAGTGTCCAGTGCAGGGCTAAAGAAGCAATATCAAAAAGGTCAGCTGAGTCAGATGCTCTTTGGATAAATCATCCAGCATCCCAACAGGAGTACTGTAGTGTCCTGCAAATCTGTGTGGACATCAGACCCATGCGGGACAGAATTTTAGACGCTTGTAACAAGCAATCAAAGCTGGAGTATAAGGTTCCCAACATTTGATCCATCTGCTCTTTGAAAAAGGGATCAACCCAAGCTGAGGAAAAGATGTTCCCCATCATGGAACACTAGCAAAAACATTGAGGGCTGGGTTATGATTTTTCTGTTTGCCAATGTCAGATTCTTTTGTAGGCAGCAGTATAACCAAACTTTATCCGTACTACTGTGTCCCTCAATGGATGAGAAATAATTATACATTGTGTATTTTATTGTACACATTTTGTCATATCAGTAACATTTTCTGAATAATTTTGGATGTGATATGTATATGTATGTACAGCCTTTGTAGAGCCTCACAGTTACTGGAAATTTCGCAATGCACTCAGCATGTGGAAACATTTTGCAGCTGTAATTGCAGTTGTGTGAACAGTCCACCTCCTGCACGCACTTTGTGAAAAATGATCGTCTCTTACAGAAACATTTGGCTGGGTGGAGGACAGACTGCTCCTTTCAATGCTCGCACATTACAACTGTTATTGAATCCAAATTCAAGTTTGATCACTTGTTTGCTCCTTGCTCTACTGTCACAAGTACCTTTAATAGTGGTTACCCTTTATTAAACACCAACATATTTTACAGCACTGTACATCCCTTGATAAAAAGGGAGTGCAAAAAACAAATGTACAGAGATAAGACAGAAAAGAGCTCTACCCGCACTAACTTTGTCTTAGAAATAATTTCTTCAATGTTTTCCCATCCAATAGCTTTTATCGGTTACACAGTATTGATGAGTGATGATGAAGGCGAAAAGAATTTGCAATTCCATGATCAAAATTATACATTTTGATTGGATCTCATCGAGATCACAGCCACAAACACTGCATTCATAAAATGATAGGATTACAGTAACTCAATTGGTAAAGAAAACCTGACAAATGTGTGTAGCTTTCTTAGCAGCTGGTCTGTGATTTAGGAGTGAGAGATCCAATGGGAGTGACATCTGATGCAGTTAACACACATCATCTGATCTAGATCCATATTACCCTGGCAGGTCTGAGCTTAGGATACAAGCAAGACACAAAAGTAAATCGCTAACACCCAAACCAACGGTGTGGCCAGCATACAGTAGAAGTTTGTTAATCAGACACACCTGAGGATACAACTGGCAAAACTCAACAGCAACACACAAACTTGTATCTAGACAAGTCTCACTTACTGAACCGTATGGAATCTCCTGTCTCTTGGCTCCCGGGTGTCACCAGCAGTCTAATGAGTGCAATATTTGCAGTGGGAGGAGAAGCCAAATCTCTAACACTCCTCCTTCCTAGCTGCCTACAGGATATTAGAGTTCCAACAGAGTCACTTCAAGCAGAGTGCACACAATAGAAACTCCAGAAGAATGCAATTGCTGCAGCTATAGGCAAATTAGATGTCCCAGCGTTAGCAGGGATTCCAGGCTCCCAAATTTCTCAACAGCAGCAGGCTTGTTTGCATATAAAGGGACATTTTAGTGAGCACATATTGGAAGTTTAAATATATATATTGTTTTATGACTTTAAAATTTTCTAAGCCTGCTCTTCCGAGTTTTTGTTACAGTGTTAAGTGTTTTGGATAGAGTAGAGAAGAGTCAATTGCTTTTGTCAGGTGTTTATTTCTGTGACCCCATTGGGAAGATTTTCCTCCACTTGGGAAGAAATAGGGGGGTGACAAATAGGGTGTGACATACTGGGGCATGAAGGTATAGCCAGTAATAGAAACATTAGCAGATGTTAAACGCCTCCCTAATGTATTTCCAAATTTGTCTGTCCCCATTGGAAAGATCTCATTACGTCCTGTTCTGAATCACTGATGGTAAATCTCCCTTGTAGAGACACTGGCATTCTCTTAAAGGAAACCTGTGCCAAAATAATTGTAGTTTACTATTGTTGACTCCTCCTTCTGCAAAAGATAGTTTGCCTGGCTGTAATGGCTTCAACAGTTCGAGCCATTATGGGAACACATGTTTTGACTTGGGTCACATCTGCTCAGCTACGTCACATGCAGGTCGTGTGTGTGTTTTTAATGAATCTTAAATTAATTGACATGTACTTAAAAGGAGAACTATGGGGTTAGGGCTTTTCCCCATGGTTCTCCTAAGGGTAACGGGAGGACACAAACTAGCTTCCTCCTGTCACCCAAAGCTCAGTATACCGCGAGCCGTAGCATACTGAGATGCCGCAGCCGGAAACGGATCCCGACAATTCTGTCTGGATCCACCCAGCTGCGCGAGTAACAGCTGGCTCTACCTATCTAGAGGCAGAGCCAGCTGTACCCACCCCCTCCCCCGTCCGTTCTGCCAGTCAGCGCTGGAGGATCAGACAGGGAAGGGGGGAATTCCTGCAGGGAGCCATGAGTGACAGTCACGGATAGATCCAGAAGTGAGCGAGCACCGGTATGTGTTCGCTCACTTCCCGATCTACTGAGCCGACCTGTGACAGTTTCATTGGCACAGGTCGGCTCAGATTATGAGGCTGAGTGAAAATCACTCGCCTCATAATTCTCCTTTAAGCGTTAAAGGCCTGTTAGTGTTTCACAACTAGTGTAGATACAGAGGTTAGCAGATTTCTCTACCACAACCTATAGGGATTGTATATATTTGCATACATGCCTTGGTGGAACACTGAATTACGAACTAACTGATATTCCGAAACGGAACAAATTTTTTGACGGCGCACAAGTCTAGTTTATGGCTCTATCTCTCAAGATAAAAAGACAACTGATGTGATACCTGCTACAAACCTGCTACTTTGGCAGAATTGAACATACTGGCACCGAGAGAAGAAGAACACAGTATGCTATATAAAGCTAGAGTGCAGAGGAGACTAGGTCTGTTTACCGGGTTTAAATTCCAGTAAGGATGCTATGTATACAATACACTGACATAATACTAGTATTGTCAAGTTCTAATCCTTGCCTCTCTGCAGTTAAAGACTAACAGAAATGTCTTGTTATTGTGATCGCTGTATTCTTTCTTTGTCTTACTGTTCTCTTTCCTTTGCTCTCTTTGGGTAAAATCTGAACTATGTGCTCCAGCTGAGGGATGGTATCCTTAGTATCACAGTTTTGTTCTTACTTAGTCCTATACCAGTAAAACGGAAAATGTCATGGGAGTGCTGGAGCAGACCGATAGTTACCTTGTGGGTGATTGGTTGGAGGGGTCTGGCCGGGCCCGACATGATTGTGTATAATGCTGTAGACGTATGCAAATGTTTGAATATGCCTGGCCGTGAGGCCCATATGCTTTACAGTTCTGTGCAGTACTCTTGTGCTTGTATAAATAAAGAATAAAAAAAAAAAGATTAAACAGAAAAGTTATGGCTGAAGTTCCACTTTATCTAATTACTGTATATACCAATCAGCCATAACATTATGACCACTTGCCTAATACGGAGTAGATCCACTTTTTCCACCAAAACAGCACTGGCCGTTAAGGCATTGACTCCACTAGACCTTTGAAGGCATGCTGTGGTATCTGGCACCAAGCAGTCAGTAACAGATCCTTAAAGTGACATTAAACCCTCAGATTTTTTAACATAAACCAATACTGTAATGTGTGCCTTACTGTAATCCATGGTACTTTCCCTTCTCTTTGCTGCTCTTCCTTTTAAATCCTCATGTCTTCTCATGCTTGGGGAGAACTTCCCTTTGCAGCCGAGTGCCTCTTCCTGTAGTGCTGGCTCAGGTTGTGAACCTTCACAAAGACACCATGTATCCATTTCAGAGACAAGGCAGTCTGCTGCAAAACAGAAGTTCTGCCCAGCAGGAGAACAGATACAGATTTAAAAAGGAAGAGCAGCAAAGAGAAGGAAACAACCATGGATTACAGTAAGGCACACATTAAAACAATCTGAGGGTTTAATGTCACTTTAAGTCCTGTAAGTTGCAAGGTAGGCATTCGTGGATCTGGCTTGATTTTCCAGCAGATCCCACAGATCCTCAATAGGATTGAAACCCTGGAGGTCGTCAACACCTCAACCTCGTTGTTATGTTCCTCAAACCATTCTTGAACCATTTTTGCAATGTGGTAGAGCGCTGCTGAAAGAGGCCACTGCCATCAGGGAAGTCAGCAGGGGTACCCTGACTGGTCTGCGTCTATGCAGCCCCATACACATTAAACTGCAATGCACTGTGTGTTCAGTCACGTTTCTATCAGAACCAGCATTAACTTTATTATCAATTTGAGCTACAGTAGCCCTTCTAATTGATCAGACTACATGGGCCAGTCTTCGTTCCCCACTTGCATTTATGAGTCTTGGCCTCCCATGACCCTGTTGCCAGTTCACCGGTTTTCCTTCCTTGCACCACTTTTGATGGGTCCTGACCACTTCAAAACTGCAGCACTTGCAGTGGTCTGGAGTTGGTCTTACCCAGTCGTCTAACTATCACAAATTTGGCCTTGTCAAAGGTCGCTCAAACACTTAAGCTTGTCCTCTTTTTCTGCTTCCAACACATCAACTTCAGGGACAAAACATTCACTTGCTGCCTAATATGGTGTTGTGTCACCATCTGGTAATTTCCCACTCCTCTTGTCCTGGGAGAGATATCAATGGTAGGATTTCCTCTTTTGTTTGGAGAGTACTTATCAGAACAGGAAGTACTGATGGTAAATTATAAAGTGGGGAACAGATATAAAAAATAAAAAAAAAACTGACAGAATACCTATTCTTGCCCACACTCTCAAGCCAAAGAAAGTTTCATTTCTACTTTCAGGTTTTTCTTTGATATGTCTTAAGGCCCCAGGGCTAAGAACTATAAAAAAGTTGCCAGTTCTGCACACTATTACACCATTACAAAAGGGACCCTATGTGTAGCTAAGACCACCAGACTCCACCTATAACAAACATATGATTTCATGGTGAACTGATTTTAAAATGAAATGAACAGGTTATGTACAGGTTAAGAAAAAGGATATTCTAAATAAACGTCTAACAGAGATGCAGAAATCTGTGAAACAAATTAACCCATTGAGCTCTTTCTTTCCAACGTTTCTAGTGCCTGCCACCCTGTGCCTAACCTCTTGCAATACACCTCAATGCTCAACAGCAGGGCTTCTGTAGAGCAGCATTGTGGCAATCCAGTTTACACATCTTTTCACGATTTCAAATAAAAAAATTAATGAATGAATGTCTGGAGCGAGACATATCTAATAATATACTTCTGTATTCAAAAAAGAACCCC